CTTGTTATTTCAGGATGTTGCAATCAAGGTATTCTCAAAGCAGGAATATTCAGAAGATGTCATACATGCCTTTAGACAGGAGGTGCGCTTTACTGTTAAGTTATTTCACTGTGTTCACATACTTATTTGTATGTTTTTCTCTCTCTTTCAAACACATCTATCACTATTTTGCTGTTAAGTTATTTCAAATGTGCTTTACTGTTAAGTTATTTCACTGTGTTCACAAACTTAGTTGTATGTTTTTCTTTCTCTTTCAAATACACCTATCACTATTTTGCTTTTGCGTTTGAAGGTATCTCTTATGAAAAGACTTAGGCATCCAAATGTTCTGCTGTTCATGGGAGTTGTGGTTTCATCCGAACGTCTCTGCATTCTCACAGAGTTCCTTCCACGGTTCGATCTCAACTTTCTTTTAGTTGCTGACACTTTTTTTTAACTTCCACATTGTATATTTGACGCTCTGTGGGACATTTCATGCATCTTCTATACTTATTGGCTTGATGAATGCGTATGTTTATATTTTATTGATGCAGTGGGAGCTTGTTTGACATACTACAAAAGAATACTACCAAATTAGGTTGGAGACGGCGTGTTAATATGGCTTTGGATATCGCAAGTATCAAGTAGCTTTGAATTATTATTATTATGTTCAAATTTCATGATGATTCTCATGCTACTATGCGTGTAATGACATCATGCGTCGGTCTGCATTTGTTTTTTCAATTTCATTCTTGTTTGTGTCACTTGAGTAGTCATTTCCTCTGTCAATTCATCTTACTGATTGAACTTTCACAGGCTCGAGGCATGAATTATCTTCACAATTGCAATCCGCCTATCATTCATCGTGATTTGAAGTCTTCAAATCTTCTAGTTGATAAGAATTGGACTGTCAAGGTTGCCATTAATTATCTGCATCCATTTTATTTGCAAATCCGGTTCTAGACTTTTCGTTTACATCATGTTGTTGACAATATTTTGTTTACTTGAGGTAAAAGTTAACGGAATTCCATTTGAAACAGGTTGGCGATTTTGGTTTGTCACGTCTCAAGCATGAAACATATCTCTCAACAATGAATGGGAAAGGAACAGTATTTACTTAAGCCTTTATTATCCTTCATCAATAATATTAATCTAATCTAAATCTTTTTGTGAGGATGCATAACTTTCTAGATTCTCAGTGGACTTACAAATACCATGTTTTTTCTGTAGCCTCAATGGATGGCACCAGAAGTTCTTCGCAGCGAAACCTCTGACGAGAAGTATGTTGATGCCTTTCCTCACCATTCCAATTGCACAAGCAAATCATGTCCCACATCCCCCCTCCAGCCTCATCACATTTGCTTTTTCTCTCAGCGCTGACCTTCTATTTCTTGTTCTTTCCGTGAAACCCTCAGGTCCGATGTTTATAGTTTCGGAGTCATATTATGGGAGCTTGCCACGGAGAAGATACCTTGGGGTAGTCACAACTCAATGCAGGTATGGTTTTCATTAGAAAACGATTTTAAATCATTCTTATCCGAAGAGTTCAAAATCATCAAACCAAATGCTAGCTTCTAGAGACAAGGTCATATATTAGAACGATGGTTAAAATAACCGAACCAGGTTCAATCATCATGGAAAATTTAAAATATTAACCAATAATAATTAAGAAAAATTCATAAGAGATATAAAAAAATGGAAAAATTACATTTAAAAGAAGATCGAAACTGAACCAAACCAAATTAAAATGCCCATTTTTTGTTAAAAGAAATTAAAATTCAATAAAAGGAAAACAAAAAATCTGGTTATTAGTTTTGAGCCGGTTTTTTCCGGTTTCCAGTCTTTTATGGGTTCTGGTTTGTTCTTGAATTTTCCAGTTGGACTTGTATGGTTGAACCGCTGTACTAACTGGTTCCTGGTTGTACTAAGCCTGTACTCTACTTTGAAAAAAAGAAAAGGAAAAATGCTTGTTGGCTAGCAGTGTCAATAGGTTTAAGTGGAATTTTCCTTTACAAACTATTGAGCATTGAAAGTATGAATAACTGTGGTTAGAATCTTTGCAGTTGATTGGAGCTGTAGGGTTTATGAACCAACGGCTCGAGATTCCAAAGGAACTAGACCCGCGGTGGGCTTCGATGATTGAGAGTTGCTGGCACAGGTTCTTATCTCCTTATAATTCCGATGCTTAAAGTTTAGTTGTAGTCTATCACTATGCAAGTGAATTCAAACACGGCATCATGTTAATCAAATTCGGACTTCACAATTCGATTGGCCATCATCACGATGGCCTCAATTTTTTTAGTGCCATTTTAGAACAGTGGCTTAGGTAGTACATTAGTTATTAAAACGACTTGCCTGCAGACGTAAATCCTGTTCACATCTCATGTTGTCTTTATGATTTCGAATTATGATACAATTTGCTATTTTGATCTGATATATGGAACCACAACTTCCTGGAAACCAGTGATCCAGAGTGCAGGCCGACGTTCCAGGAACTACTTAACAAGCTTAGAGATCTTCAAAGACAATATACTATCCAAGTTCAGCAAGCTCGTAGCGTGGCTGAAGAAAAGGAATAGTAAATCGGATGTATGTGTTTTCGTTCTGTATTCTTTCATTCAAGAGAAAGCTGTAGAAGTATGGGTCATTTTTTTACAAACATCGGTTGCTGTTCACCTAATGGTTACTGCATTGGCATCGAAAAACTTGGGCCATCCTGGAGGGTAGTAGTAGTCTCTATATGAGAGCAAGCATCCCGAGCTTGACGGTGATCAGTTGGTTGTGAGATCTTTGTTACAATCCGACATCGGTCTTCAAAAATCGGGCAGTGGTGGTGTGAGTCTCCTGTGATTTTTAATCAAGTCAGGACGACGAAGGTGGACATACTACAGTCTAAATAGGGTGAGATTAATAGCTTGCTTTGCTTTGTTATTAAAGCACCGTATAATGGGGCAGAAAGTAGTTAATCTCTGCTGCTCTCAAGACTCCATTCTTCTGGATTTGAAATACTATTGATTTTTTGTATACAGAAAGCTCGCAGCTTGAAATTTGAATCCAAATTCGCTGTATGGTATTTTTTTCATTATTGTTTCTTGAATCTACTGCAAGTATTGTGTTTTGTCAATCGGTGGTAATGCACAATGCAAATTTAGATATTTGCTCATTTTATTTTTTCCTTTTAAGTTCTATTTTTTTAATAGTTTTATTATTTAATACGTATTAATATTCAAAATTAAATTTAATATTATTCATGGATTTTTTTTAAATTATATGTTGATAATAGAGTTGAGTAAAATTCAAGTCGAAAAATCATTTTTCTTAATTTTAAATTCTTCAAATAAAATTATTTGAGATAATTTTTGAATTGGGCCAAGTTAAAATACGAAAATTACAAGTCAACTGAAAAATAATAAATTAATTAAATATTTTAATATTTTTATGATTTCATATTTTATTTCTTTGTTCCTTTATTTTTTTTAAGTTTACTTTCAATTAATTATGAATTACATATTTTTCTAATTAATTATATAATATTTATGTATCTTCCATTCTTCTTTTTAATAATAATTCTTTTTATTTTATTAAATTAGTCCCTTAATTTTGTATGGTGTTTTCATTTCTTTATTTTATCTTTCGTATCAAGTTTATTTTAATTAAATTTGAATATATTTCTACTACTACAGAATAGTTATGTAATTTTAATTGTTTTTCAGTTAAATTCTTTAATTTTATATTTAATTTAATTTAATTTTTAACTATATATTTTTTAAATTATTTCTTCTCATTTTAATAATTTATCTTTAAGATACATTTAAACAAAAATATTATTATAAATATATTTTATAAGTTTAAATTATATTTAATTTATTAAATGATATTATAATATAAAAATATAATATATGTCTTATATCATCAAAGAAAGTCAATAAATTAAAATCAACATATACTATAATATTATAAATAATTATAATTAAACTTCTATAAAAATTTGAACAATTCGACCCAACTAAAAAAATTCAAATAAAATTGGAATCATGAAATACGACTTACCAACTTGATTAACTCAATTTTTTTTAACTCTATTCAATCAAATATTCATCCCTAATTGAGAATATAAATTTCGTCTATTAAAAGTTAGATGACCTAAATTTAAATTCCTTTAGAAGCAAATATATGTAATCTAAAATCAGATTCAATTATCTAAATCCATAATTCATATCCACATTAGATAATAATTTTAAAACAAATTAAATAAAATAGAAAAGAAAAGAATTAAAAAAAAATTTAGATGAAGGGGAAGCTTTAGATTATTAAAATGGTGTCCCTAATACTTTGGTGACAATTTGGAGAAACTTGGTTCCATACACCTCCTATGACTATAGTTGATGTAATCCAAGAAGAGGCTACTCTCTTACATAATGTTTTTACTGTTCTTTGATTATAAAAAAAGGTGTAAATTTGATATTATTGTTTATTGAAAAATGAGCATTTAATTCAATTGTTACGTAGTCGTATATCTTATTTAATTACAATAATCATATTTGATTAAGATTTTTCAATATTACGCTGAGTCTTCATTTCTCTCTATAATACATCCAAACAAGAGTATAAGGATATATAACCTGCAAGGACTCTCTAATCATACGAAAAACCTCTAAAAAAGTTTAACATGACACATACTGCCATGTTCTAACGAAGATGGATAATTCTCAAGCAAAAAGTTTTAACTGAACATAGTGAACTAATCTACAAACCAGGGATGCCAAAATAGGAATTTTCAAGTTATAATCATTTCATAACATCCAAACTTATTCCGGGGAAAGAAGGAAAACAGCTAATGCAATTATGTGATAAACAAAACAGTGCAAGTGAAAAGAAAAAAGGATTAAACCTCTAGCAAACTTATTGTTGGGGAGTTCTAACATGGTAGAATTATCTGTACTTAAGACAGGCAATGCTGTGTACTGCCCTCTCTCTCATTCAATGCTTTCTGCCAGTGCTTCCTTCAACTGCTCTGATCATCAGAAATCAGAATCCGAAGTTGACTCGGAAGATGAGCTTACTATCTTCTTCCGCTTCCCCTTCCTCCAAGGCCTGATCATCTCTTCCTCCGACTCTGACGATAAGGTGTAATCCGTACTACTCCCCTCAGTTGAATATTGTGATCCCGTAACAGACAAGGCAATACCGGTACCAGAATCCGAGGGATACTTCCTTTTGCTTTTCTTAGACCTATCGTCGTCCTTGTTATCCTTTCCATCAGGGATGTCTAAATCAATAGAGATGGAAAGCTTCATCCCCAGTTTCGGGTTCTTATGCTTCATCCTCAGTTTCGGGTTCTTGCATTCATATGCCCAATGCGCTGCTTGGAAACACTTTTGGCACTGTGAAGTAGCCATTGTAGTAGAAATAGATGCCTTGTCTTTCCTTTCACCCGCCTTCTCCGTACTCATCTGCCTCTTTGCTTCCCTTTTCTCCTGCTGTCTGCTAGGCCCTTCTTCCTTTTTCCCATTAGCATTAACATTTCGAGCAGCCTGAGCATGACTGAGGCCTTTGGCACCACTCACTGCTGCAGCCTTGATTTTGTCAGCAGTGCCCTGACTTTTTTCTTGTTTGATAATCATCTTTTGAGATGCCAACAAATAAAGCACATTATGCCGATATATAGATCTCCAAGAAAAGAAATTCAATCGAACCCAAATCCTTCAGCACCCTGTGATCAATTATAGACAAATAGTCTAATCAAGGGACTATATACAAAGAATTTAAATATGAAAAAACAAGAAACAAATTCTGCAAACATTATAGAAAAAACGCATAAAAAAGAACTTTAAAAGCAGTTACGAAACCCTAACGTTAAAAAAAGGAAGCAGAATAAAAATATTTGTTTCCTGCTAAACTTCAACTGAAAGATTGACGACCCTGAATCTAAGGGTCAACTTGACATTATTTTCTAAAAATGACTTTTAGAAGTATGTAGAAAAAAAATTCAAAAGTGTTTTTTTAAAATAAAATGTAATTTAACTGTGTGTGATTATTGTTAAAAAATGATTTCGAAAAGTTAAAATATCCATTTTAGATATTATAGTGTAAATTAAAAATATAACATTTAAATTATATTTAAATTTATTAATACTATCTTATATAAAATATATCAACTTAATCTATAATAAAAATATAAAAAAATATTTTAAGATAATTCATTAATAATATTATTATATATGAAATATTTTATAAAAAAATATATTATCAACAATTTTTAACATTTAAATTTTAAAATAATATTAGTTATTTCGATTTAACCACAATTTCTCCTTTAAGATATAAAATAAAATAATTTAAATGAGTTATTTATCCTTTTATTCATTCAAATATATATATATATATATTATAAATAAATTTTTAAAAAATATTATTATATATGAGTGGAGTAAGAGTAAAAATATAAATTTGTTTTAAACGTAAAATTGTTAATGAAAAGCTAGAAATCTCATTTTTTGGATTGGTTTAAAACCACCGTTTACACAACATTTTTTTCTTTAATTTTTACCTATTTGACATTATTTTACGGTCAAAATGAATATTTTTAATTAAAAATGCTTTCAGAAAATATTACCAAACGCATCTTAAATATTAAATGCATAAACAATTAAAACTAAGAGGAGATGAGAAGAAAATTAGAGCGTACCACAACTTCTTGGGGGCCGGAGATCCAAAACGAAAGTAAAGGTGAAAGTTTTGAAAACTTCTATTTATAAGAGCGATGTGATTTCTTCCATTTAATTTAATGATAATTACTTAAATGATAATGTAAATATTATTTGATTTGAATTTGAATTCTTTAAATAACCTAAGATAGAGTTTTTAATAAAGTAGGATTTTATAAATATAAGTTTTCTCGCCTTATTTGTAATCACTTCAATAATTTGATTCTTTTTAAATAAAATCTCAAATATAATTGTGTGGTGGAAGAATTTGAGCTTCTTTTAGTTTTGATAAAAATACTAATACCCTTTGAATTTGGTAATTTTAGTTCAGTTGTCTCATAATTTCTTTTTTCATCAACTTGACCCCTAATTTTTTTTTTTCAGGCAACCGCCTCTTGAAGTTAACATGTTTGATCAAATTACCATGAACTTATAAAAACAATATCCCACAAGATTAACAACATTGACTTTTTAATATTTTATTAACATGAACCACTTTGGTGATGATATTATATATTGACATTAGACAGGTTTTAAACTCAATTTTCAATTAGTTTTGCCTTTAGGTGATTCTTTAGATTTTTTTTTTTAATTTTTCATCTTAGGATTTTAAGCGGTGGACTATGTCATCGTTTTTCTTTTCATTTTCTTTTTATTTAGTTTTTTTTTAAATTTAGATCTAAATAAATATTCTGATTATTTTAGTTTCTTGCTTGTCACATATTTTTGAAGTACTTGTTTTTGTTTGCTTTTAATGACACGATTTTTTTTATCATTATGATAGTTTGACATTTCGAGTTGCATTCATCGCAGAGCACCACTGATCAGAAAAGGTCGATGTTATTGTATAGTTAGATTCTTTTTTACGACAGTTTGTCAATTCATTTAAAACCATTCACACAACAATCTATCACATTGATTCTCTTAATCTCCCTGTTCTCATCAATATTGCGTATATTTTCTAGTAGAAACAATAAGATTATTGATAATTGCTAGATTCTTTTGGAAGAGAATGTTTTGATTTCATTTAAATTATATGATGATGTATTAATTAATATATCATCATATAATTTACGACGATAAAAACATATGTATTCGTAAATGTATTTTATTTTATAGAAATATATATATTATGATGTATATTCATTTTTTTACAGTTTAAAATCTTATGTGTATATTTATATTTTATAATTTAAAATAATGTATTTATTCCATATATGTGTAAATTGATTAATTGTATAACTTCTTAGAGTGAAATAAAAAATATTTCGTTATTCATAACAAATCAACTAAAGGGTATATTTAATTATAATGTAATAAAATTTGACAAATATAATGTTTTGATTAAAATCCTTGTGAATTGTGGCCTTAGTGTTATTTAATGTGTTAATATGAAAAAGCTAAAGGTTTGCTCGACGCTAAAGAGGGTTGAGATAAAAATAGTAGGTTCAGAAAATGGATCTAATTATCTAAATAACAAAATACACATATTTAAAATGTGAGTCGATTTCGAACTCAAACTTTAGCATTGGGAATCTAAACCTGACTTAATCTCCTTCCTAAACTTATCTGTGTTTAAATTTATAATTTTTAAGATGTTATAATAACGATACCCACAAGGGTTGTTGAATTTATAATTTAACATATTTAAATTTATTAATTAAAGGTACAATGATCAAATTAGTCCTTAATATTTATTCTAATGGCCACTTTGGTCATTTTTTTTTAATATTTTAGCCCTCGACATTTTAATTTTTTTTGTCAAAATAGTTATTATTAGATGGAAATCATTAGTTCACTAATAATCAACGCATCTTGTTGACGTGACATTTTTATATGTATTTAATTAGTGACGTAGAATATGACACGTTGTTACTTTAGGTAATGTGACACATACTATACAATCATTTCGAGTGACGTAACGCACGTCACATTATTACTTTGAGTGACGTGACGTATACTACATTATCACTTTGAATGAAGTAATGTATGGCATATCATTATTTTGGATAATATGACATGTTCTATTATCTTCATATGACGCGACACATATCATATTATCATTTTAGATGATATAGCACATGTCACATTATCACTCCGATAATAACTATCATATCTTAAGGTAATTTTTTTATTAAGTTAAAGATAATTATAAAGTAGTTTATGTTCTAAGTACTATCAACTATTTGACAATGAACATTCAATCACTCTCGTAGTCATTGGTGCTTGAACCTATGACCTCTATAAACATTAACGATTTCTTTAACTATCGAGGTAAGTTAGTTTGTGCGAATCCTAATATCCTAGGGTAACTTAAATAAAGTTGGACATATGTAAAATAATATACCCTTTTGATGACATTATGATCTTTGTTCAGAAATAGAAACAACATATAAAAGAGTGAATTACTATTTTTATACTTAAACAGTTGGCAATCCCTCAGTTCTTTATGTGAATCTCCATCTTTACAGTTCAGATTTTGCATCAAGCTTGTATTTCGTTTTTTTTTTCTCCATTGGCAAAACATGGATCATTCCACTACTATATTCTGTTTTTTTATTACTGTTTTACATGTTTCTACCGCTTCCGATCGTATTCTTCCTTCGACATTTTGTAATTTTCCGGCGATCTATAACTTCGGTGCCTCTAATTCCGATACTGGTGGCCTCGCTGCCGCCTTCATTCAGTTTAAGCCACCTAATGGACATACCTTTTTCGGCATGCCGGCCGGAAGAATGTGTGATGGACGACTCATCGTCGATTTCACCGGTACTAAATTAATTTCCTTCTCAATGCTTTTAATTTATTTAAGTTTGTGGAAATGAGTATATATGTATATTTATGGATAGCTGAGAGCTTGAAGCTGCCATTCCTAAGCTCTTACTTGAATTCACTGGCGATCAATTTCAAACATGGAGCGAATTTCGCGACGGCGGGTTCTACCATAACATTTCCGACGACGAACATCGTCCCCAAAGGTCGGACCAGTCCATTCTACCTAGGGTTACAGTGTTTACAATTTGCCCAATTCAAAACCAGATCCCAAATTATTAGAAAGCAAGGTAGTAATTCTGCACATCCATTTTTTTTTTAATTTTTAATATTTTATTTAATCTTCTATTTTCACTCAAAGAAATTTATTGAAAAAATAAAGAAATAATTGCAACCGTTTATTCAACCATCCTAAAAAATGTAAAATTAAAAGTTTTACGGAATATATACCTAACCCATATATCTATATATATGGTTTCATTCTTAATTTATGTGATTTCTTCCATAGGAGGAGCATATGAAAGCCTAATGCCAAGGGAGGAAGATTTTGCAGAGGCATTATACACTTTTGACATTGGCCAAAATGATCTCCTCAACGGTCTTTTTCTTAACATGACCGTACCGCAAGTTATAGCCACCATCCCCGACATGGTTAACCAGTTCTCAAAAAACATCAGGGTAACTCCTTTAAACATCTGGGATTTAAATAGCAGTTTGTTATAGGAATAGAAGCCGATATGTAGTGGTAAGAGTTTCGTTCAAAATTATTATTGCATGATTATGATATTATGATTATGATATTCTTAATGACCAAAATAACATATGTTATATTTGCAATCACGATAAACACAGTGCAACCGAAAATGCTACTACAATCACAGTTTAAATCCCTCGTTCAAACACATGACGAGAAACTTAACATTAACTCCTTGATTCATCAATGCATTGCAGGATCTATTCAATTTAGGAGCAAGGTCGTTTTGGGTTTACAACACAAGGCCAATCGGTTGCTTTCCATCAATTCTAACCATTTTTCCGGAAGCTGCAAGAGACTCAGCCGGTTGTGCAAAGGAATACAATGAATTAGCTCAACGTTTCAATGCCGAGTTGAAGAAAGCACTGGCTCAGCTTTGGGTTGAGTTAAGTTCGGCTACAGTTGTTTATG